AGCGCTTCGCGCGACTGCTCTCTGTTCGTTCGCGACGGCTCGCCTTCCTCTTCGCTCGCGTGTTTCGTGCCTTCGTAGACACCTGCGAAAAGTTTCGACCAAGCAGCCGGTCTTTTCGTCACCTCGGTACGTGTTCAATATGTTGCGCATATTTGATCTGTTCATGTTATTCTGCATAGTTTACATGTGTAGATCTAATGATGCGTTCATGCTAGTTTTCATCTGTAATGTCATGATTTATTTATGGAATAAATTAAATCATTATATGCCCATAATCTCAACAGCAGGTGCTCGCCGCTGCTCCGCTCCTGTCCGACGACCACGTGGGCGAGGCGAGCGGCGATGGCGAAGTCGGCAAGGAGACGGAGGCGAGGCGCAAAAGGCCGTGGGCGGCGGCGAGGAGACGGCGGCGAGGCGGTTGGCGGGGGGGACGATGTCGCCGCCTTCTCGTCTCGCGCCGCCTCCTCGTCTTTCGCAGCCGCCTCACCTCGCGCCGCCAGTCACCACCCAGCCGCACCCACCAACCGCCTCGCCGCCGCTGCTGCCTCGCCTCCTCCGCCGCCGCTGCTACCTCGCCTCCTCGCGGAGACGTCGTCCCCCCGCCAACCGCCTCGCCGCCACTGCCGCTCGCCTCCTCCGCCGCAGCCTCGCCTCGCCGTCGCCTCCTCCACCGCGCTCGCCTCGCCGCCGCGCCGCTGCCTCCGCTGTCGCCGTCTGAAGGAGGAGAGAGAGTGTGTGTGTGAGAGATAGAAGAGATAGGGGAGAGAGACTGACAGGTGGGGTCCACCTATTTTTTAATAAATAAATTGCTAACTGGACTGTCACGTAGACCAAAACCACCGCGGATTGGATCAGAGGGGTAATTCGTCCGGTTTACATAATTGGGTGTGAAAAATGTCCGGTTTTGTGATTCAGGGGAATAATTCGGATAACCGTGATAGTTCAGGGGTAATTCGTACTTTCTTCCTTTTGGTTATCTTGTAAATACTTTTTCCTCCCGTACTTAATATAACACTAGCTTTGCTGGCTTCGGTTTTCAAAAAAAGAAAAACAATACTAAAAGAGAGCAAGAATTATATGCATCTACGACTCCACCATCACACACCAGAAAATGTTGTCCCTACTAACGTTTTGCTGCAGATTTTGAAGATATTGTTTTAGGCTGAGAAAATAAGTTTTGAGAAGCAATTAATTGGTTAATATTTAGGAGCCATTTAGAAATTTGTGCATCTCATAATTAAGAGCACATTTTCACTAATAAGGGAAAAGCAAATGTCAGAAAATCTAATTTATTCTTGGGTTTGTCCACCAGTTATTCACTCATGTGATTCAACGATGTTTCCATGGAACTAACCATAATGTAAGAGAATACACGCGCGTGTGTTTAATTTTCATGTGATTCAACGACGTTTCCATGGAACTAACCATAATGTAAGACACATAGTGCAGCTTGCATTTTGGTCTTCCATACAAAAACATCTCTCTCCCTCTCTCTATAATTCGATGAGTAAGCTCAAAAGAACATGTCCAACTCATTTGACATCAATAACTAATGAAATGCAACTTGTGCTTTGGCCATGCATACAGAAAGATTCGTCTATCGATCGTGACATCTTATAATTGTTTGCGTCGGACCAAAGATACCCAACATGACGCAATGCGTCATTTGTCATAAATTTCCCACGCTGACTATCCGTTGAACTCCGCTTGCTGATAAAACGCAAACATTCCCGTGTCCATTTCATTGCACGATGTATCATTTTGTCATGCTGACAGTTGCCAATCACATATACTAGCAGGACTGCTAGGAGCAGTCCATGCATATGCCCTGTTTTGGGGAATTTCTGTAGCCTCTCCTAAAATCAGAAGTTTCTCAAACAGTACAGTTTTTGGTCCAGATTCTAAGAAGTTATAGTAGTAGAATCCAGAAAATAAAGTAGAAGCCAGAAGCTGTGAAACCCAGCTTTTTCAGATTTTCAGAAGCTAGCATACTGGCTACAAACCAGCTACTTTTCAGAATCTTAAGTTCCACCAAACAGGACCATAGGCACATCCGCACATGCACAGCCACAGCTCGCTGCAAACATACATATCGTATGCAAGGTTTTTCTGAAGATTTTACACAAATCAAGTTCTTATTATATATGGAAAGAATAATCAGTGGGGGTATTTTTGGTTGGCATCCCAGTTCACCAGATGCATATTGTGTGGCTAAAATCACTGTTCGCACGCCATACTACTAGTGTCAAATTTGTTTGAGAAACCAAACAGATTCCTCGTTTTGCACGGTTAAGGGCCTATTCGGTTTGGAAGAATTTTAAAGGAATTGAAGTGTTCCTGTAAAATTCCTATATTCTGAAGAAACCCCAAGTGAACCGTGCCAAAGATAGACTGCAGGGGGGCTTCATCCAGGGATGGGCCAGCTTTGGACTCGGATCGGGTTTGGGCCACACACACGCACACGGACTCGTGCAGACAAGCGGGCGCGGCCTGATTAGCTGCACTGCTAGGCAACTTCCGAGCCGAAAGGCATTTCCAGCAGTCACCGTCCACCGAGCCCTTGCGCTGGACGGATCCTGATCAATGATCATCACGGCGCTCTGGAATCAGATTCCGACCGAATCGACCTGCATTTCCACGCCCGAACCTTCACCTCATCTTCTCGAGCCATCCATCGATCGATCGATAAGCGAGCATGCTTGCTTGCTGCCTCTGCGTGCAGATTCCAGACGCATACTGAGCATGCGCACAAAAGAGAAACGATCGATCGCGAAAGGTTAGGCATGCACCAATCGGCACCGGTCGATGATGAGGAAGCTTCGGGTCTCCGGCGATGCGTGTGCAGACATATCCAGTTTAATTCACAGCTGCAGTGCAGTGCAGAGATAGACCTGATTTTACACGCCCCAGGTTTAGTTTAATTACATGGCCGGCCGCGAGAGTTGGCACGTACGTACGTGCACACGTTCTTCAGTAAGAAAGGGATCTTAGCTAGGCTTCTTACGGCTGCGAACGTCGTACAGACGATGAGTCGATGATTCCTCCCTACTTTTGCAATGCACGCTTGTGCCAGCGATGTGAACGAATCACGGTGAGGCGAAATACGCACGTTGATCAATTGCTGATCGCATCTTAGGATGACGCACGCACCGTGTAATAGTCCATGATTCCATCTTGATCGGCCGAGATGCTTGTATGCCTTTTTTTTTCTTTAATCATTGAACGTTAACTGGTTGGCTAATCGATTACACCGATTAACGAAAAAAAGGAGTGATCCATCGATGGATCTCCCTTTCCTGTCAGCATACACGCGCGTACGGCTGAAAGTGAAGAACCAAATCAGCACAACCACCGCTCTGGGATGCAAGCATGCAACTTGCCCGATCAGGCCCGCGGATAAGGTAAACTAGTGCGTCGCACAGGCGTGCACAGATACGTGCCACAGATTTATCCAGAGCTCAGGCAGATCCGGCGCCTTTACAAGAGATCACACACGACACGAGAGAGAAGAATGGTTGTTGGGTCCCAGATAGTACTCCTACTGGCTGCTGGCATCCGCGGATGAGCCGTGAGCGTGACGTGTCGTGCGGCAAAAGAGGAGGGGGGGAAGAGGAGACGAGTGGTGCTCCGCGTAATTCTGGTGGGCTGCGTGATCTTATCCTGCCCGCTGCGTTGGCCCACGCACGCGGCCCACGGCACGGCGGTTGGGATCCGGTGGTGGGATGGGTCCGGCGCTCGCGTCACTCGCGCGGGGGGGAATCCAAACGTGGGCGGCGCCCGCCGCCCACCGATTTTTTTGTTTTCTTGTTCTTCTCGTTCTCGTCCTACGCGCGGTGCTGCAGATGCATCATTTGGCGCCCGCATTCGGAACGTTCCTGTGGAAAAAAATTAAGCACGCGCGCGATCACCCCGTGACCAGAAGATGCGCGAGACAAAATATATCATGTAGCCCAAACATGTGCATATAAGAGAAAAGGAGTGAATTTAAGTATTGGTGTTTCAAAATGCAACTGATAAGCTTTTGGTGTTTTATTAGAAGGAGATACGAAAACTTTATAATAACATAAGAAGGAATAAATTCCAATTCCCTCAAAAGGAAAAAAGAAGAAGAAAATATTCCAATCGAAATAGCCCAAATTATCCGCCGGAACCAGCAAGCTTGCTTCCTCTGGTTTGGACGTGGCCACGGCACGAGCAGATACAACGCGCTGGCGAGCACGGGCGCGGATCCCATACCATCATACGGGCTGGGAATAATCCCCCAAGTGCCGATTGATTCGTGGCGTTGGAATCGGCCGTCCCAATCCTCCTCATCATGCCCGGAAGAGGATTTTGATCCCTCGAGAGGATATCCCCTCGTTGTTTGCATGTCACTCAAATGATTATAAAAAAATTAAAAAAAATTTAAGAAGATGTATTAATATGTGATATATCACTCCACAAACATACAAGTAAAAATTCAACTTCTATATCTCGCAACGAAAAAAATAAATTCGGCTCTGAATATACGTTAACTAGCTGTGGTTCAATTTGTTTTTTTCGTTACGAGATGTAGAAGTTGAATTTGAACTTTTATGTTTGTGGAGTGTTATATCTCATGTTAATACACCTTCCTAATTTTTTTAAAAAATTTTTATTACTATTTAAGTGACATAAAAAGAACAAGAGGATATCCCCTCGAGGGATTAAAACAGTTTCCCATCATGCCCCCCTTTCCCGCACTGTTGGTTTGGCTGCGCGCGGGCCTGCGGCCAAGGAGAGAAGGAAGAGGTCGGCGCCACGCGACCGTATCACCGAATCCATCCAAAAAGCGGCTGGACACATGGCGCCCACTAGACCCGCACCGCGACAAGGAACTCTAGCTCGTACTACCAGTTCTCGGTTGCTCTCGCTCATCACTATCTTCTGAGCTAATCTCTTCCTTTTCTTATCATCATCCTGATCAAGACAAATGCAACAGAACCAAATGATGTGTACATGGCTGAGGCTTGCTCCAAATCTCTATATAAGCTGCCCATTGCCTCCCGTTGTGCCACAAGATCCAAGGCTATCTAAGCACCGGCATTTGCATACAGCCGCCTAAGCAAAGAGCACAGCAAGTATACGCGAATCTGAGTGTGTGAGAGAGACTAGTAGCACAGACGAAGGTATGGCGTTCTACCTCGGCAGCATGGGTGGCTCGCCATCGTCATGGGGGGTGGCGGAGGTGCCGGTGCCGAGCAGCAGGCCGTGGAGCAAGGCGGAGGACAAGGTGTTCGAGAGCGCGCTCGTGGCGTTCCCGGAGCACACGCACAACCGGTGGGCGCTCGTCGCGTCGCGGCTCCCGGGGCGCTCGGCGCACGAGGTTTGGGAACACTACCAGGTGCTCGTGGACGATGTCGACCTCATCGAGCGTGGCATGGTTGCGTCCCCGGGCTGCTGGGACGACGACAACAACAGCGCCGGCCACGGCCGTGGCAGTGGTGGGGATGAGCGTCGTCGCGGCGTGCCCTGGACTGAGGAGGAGCACAGGTATGTGTCCAATACGTGCCATCAAATCCCGGTTCTATTCCATGTTATTTTTCATTTTTTCTGTTATTTTCGGTGCGCTCTTTGAGATCCTAGGTATTATTATATTGTTCTTTTCACATCGGATTACTTCCCTGGCCCACATCACCTGTCTCACCAACACGCAGGCCCTAGATTTCCCTATAGCAACAGTACCTTGCACTACACGTCTACTATATCGAGTTACGGCTAATTTCCTCTTTCTCTCTTTTTCTATTATTATTATGAATAGGCTATTTCTTGAAGGGCTAGAGAAATATGGGCGTGGCGACTGGCGCAACATCTCGCGCTGGTCGGTGAAGACGCGGACTCCGACGCAAGTGGCGAGCCATGCGCAGAAGTTCTTCATCCGACAGGCCAACGCCAGCAGCCGTGGCGACTCCAAGCGTAAGAGCATCCACGACATCACTGCCCCATGATGTGTGGTCCGATCGAGGATATGCATTATGATCCGGTCCAGTCTAGGTTTAGTTGTATTTCCATCAATTCCAACTAGCTTTCAACCCCATTTCAAAGAGGAGAGAACGAAGGGAGTTTAGTCGTCGGCCCTCCCTGTTAGTTCCTCTCTCTGTGTTGTGTAAAATATAGCTAGGCAATAGCTAAAACTAAGCTTGGCTGGAACCTGAGATCAATTGTTGTGATACTAGTTTGTGTACTTGTCAAATAATATTTGTATCCGTTTAATTTCACCGTGTGCGTGCGACATGTAAGCTAGCATTGCTACACATGTTTGATAGTACTTAATAGGGGTAATAGGGTTATACATTCAGCTATCACATTTTCATAGTTGTAATGATAAGTTTATTAAATTGTGTTCACCCGTATAACAATAATAATAAAACTAAAATAGCCTTCACCCGTTGCAAAGTACGGGCTTTTTTCTAGTACGTAAAATATATATCTTGACTAATTAAAATATTCATAATTTTCCTTTCGTCACCTAAATTTCTGTCCATGTTAGCGCTAATTTTTCGTCCGTCAAGTGAGTGTCCTCTTTGCTCATGATCTCCCCTGCGCGTCTTTCGTCTGTCTCTTCGTGAGAAATGGACCGTATCAGATGCACCACAATACAAGGGAAGAAAGATGGAAGCAGTGAACACGTGAACAAATATATGACTATATCAAGAGAAGAAGGAAAACTAAAAGATTAAGAAATTCCTAAATCGAAGGAGAGGATAAACTAGACTGAAATTGCTTAGCAATAGAAGTAAGAAGAGGGATTAAACTAGATTGAAATTTCCCGAAATCGCCAAATTAAGAAATCCCAAATCAGTGACACCCTAAATTCCTAAAATATGCAAATCAAATTAAGTATCTGCTAATCAATTTAACCTCTTTCGATTCGGTTACTCACCGTTTTCTTGGAACCCTAAGCCACCTGGAAACCCCAACACAGTGCGGGTTTTTGCCGTGAAGCGGCATCGCTGCCGTCGCCGTGTGGGCCTCATCTTCGCCCGCGCGTGCCTTGGTGCCGTCGCTGGCCTCCTCGTCCTCCTCATGGATGCGCCGGCTTCACCGTGCGCGCGATGTCTTGGACCCCCGCCCCCCACCATCACCGCCGCGCTGGGACCAGAAGGTTCGCCTTGACGCTGCCCTGAGCAGCGCCCTCCTCCGCACCCTCCAAGCCCCTCCCAGCAGATGATGTTGGAGCCGCCCGGCGGAATCACCTTTACCCCCGCGAGCCACTTCACTGGACCACCGTAGCTGCCATCGCCGCCGTCCGCTCTCACGCTCGTCGCCGGTAGAGGCCAAAGGGGATCGGGAGAGAGTGAGGGTTAGGGTTTCCCCATCCACATCTTCAGTGGCGTGAAGGCGATCCAAGCCGTCCATCAGATCGGCGGTTCATGCATGTAATATGAATACATAGTTGTACATAGAAATTTTTATATGTATGAATACAAAATTTATACATATAAATAAATAAATAAAGTATACATATATACATTTAGAAGATACATAGTTTATACATAAAAATAATAAATTTTATACTATGCATATAAATATAAAATCTATATGTATATATAAATTTTATACTTATAAATACAACGTATAAACTATATATACGTATACGTATAGGATAGAGGGGATGGGTTCCGGCCGCGCATCATCCTCCTCCAATCCAAATCCTGACTCTTCCATGTTACAGAAGGACTCGGTCCAACGAAGTATTCCTCCTAGTGTAAGTGCGGTACGCATCAAAGATCACACAATTCACCAATGCACGTGACGGCAATGCCTCCAGCGGTCCTGCCTCCCTGCAATACGCACGTACGCACACACGGTACTCCCAGAATAATCTGCTTCGATCGTGTCTCTCGAGTGGGCTTCAACTACCTAGCTTGGCATATCTGACCGGATGATGCATCATTATCCACAAACCAAAGCCTCTAATTATCTAATAAATATCCCTTTTACACGTCCAAACCCAACAACAACACACTTACATTATCCAACTCTCACCCAGGTTCTCACTCAGCAGTAACATACTTCCAGAAAAAAAAAACAGATAGCGACAGGGAGATCACGCGGGGATGAGCGACGATGACGAGCTCGGACGATCGAGATCTCTGGATAAGAATAAGAGCAGGTACAATAGCAGGCTATAAGCAAACATATTTTAAGAAGATAAATGAGGAGAGAGAAGGACAGCGGGTTGCAGATTTGTAGCCAGCTGTAGCATGGACACCAAGACGTAGTATGTGTATGACAGATGGGACTAGATATTAATAGTGTAGTATGTAACTATTGTATAAATGAGCTATTATATTAGTTATAGATGAATTAGAGCTAGTGGTTGGCTATATTATTAAACTTGCTCTAAGCCCAGTGCAAGCGCGCGCGTGCGAAAAATCTCCAGAAGGCTGGGACGAGGACGGTACGCCGGCCCGCGCGCGCACTTTTTTGCGTGGGCCACGCGGCGAACGTGGCCTCGCGTCCTGCCACCCGCCCGCGCCGCCAACGGTTGAGGCTGATCTGAATCCGATGCTCGCTCGCTCGCGGGGGCGGCCCCCACGCCCACGTCGAGGCGCGATCGATCGATCACGGCTAAAGTGACAGCGGCAGGCCACCGATTCTACTATGTGACGACAACGCGAGAGATTCCGATGAACGTGACGGGGACATGTACACAGTAACACAGCCGCGCAACGTACGTCAAATCGAGAGGAAACGCATGTGTTACAGGTTTTATACAGCCGTATGCCCAGGATTGCATGGTATGTTTGTGTGGCTTTTTGTGTCCAATCTGTATAGATTCCTGTTGATCGATAGTTTGATACGGGTTCAACGGGAGAGAAAGCGACTGATCACTACTGGCTGATTCGTCGGCACTCGGCCGGCCGCGGCCAAAGGAATTAATGTAGGATTTTTCTCGCGGTTCGCAGCACATCGGAACAGTTCTCTGGTCACTGCTTCGTTCAAGATTTGCTGAAAAAAGTTGATTCTGTGCTACCCCATCATCAAATTTACTTTTCGATCGGGGGAATCTGTTAGCCATGGTTAGGGAGCACAAGAGCTGTACGCAATTTGGATTGATCTCGGGTCGAAATAACAAGCCATGCGGCGAACGTGGCCTCGCGTGCTGCCACACACGCCGTGCGCCGCCGCCGATACAGCGCGCGCCTTGCGGGCTTGCGGCTGAGGCTGGCTCCAAACCTTTATAAGCCGCCCATTAATTGCCTCATAATGTGCTACAAGATCCAAGGGGAAGCACCGGCATTTGCAAAACAGCCGCCTCCACAAGAGCACGGCTTGTTACATGCGAACCTACGTGTGAGAAGAGACAGAGAGAGAGAGAGAGACTAGTAGCACTCAAACAAAGGAATGGCGTTCTACGGTGGCGAGATGGGTGGCTCGTCGTCGTCGTGGGTGGCGCCGCTGGTGCCGAGCAGCAGGCCGTGGAGCAAGGCGGAGGACAAGGTGTTCGAGAGCGCGCTCGTGGCGTTCCCGGAGCACACGCACAACCGATGGGCAATCGTCGCATCTCGGCTCCCAGGGCGCTCGGCACATGAGGTCTGGGAGCACTACCGGGTGCTTGTGGATGACGTCGACCTCATCGAGCGCGGCATGGTCGCATCCCCGGGCTGCTGGGATGATGGCGCCGGCCGTGGTGGAGCGCAGGGCGCAAGCCGCGGTGGGGATGAGCGTCGCCGTGGTGTGCCTTGGACAGAGGAGGAGCACAGGTACGCATATGATCTATGCCGTTAAATCTCGGCTCTATTCCATACTCCCTCCGTAAAAAAAACAACCTATCCCCTCCTATTACAACGAATTTGGACAAAGGGCTATCCAGATTCGTTGTGCTAGGAGGGGATCCCCTCTTAGGTTGAATTTTTTTGGGACAGAGGGAGTAGTATTTTTTCCTTTTCCCCTGCTATTCTTGGCGTGCTCTTTGAGGTTATTATAGATACTTCACCTTCTTTTTATGTCGCATTACTTGCCAAGCTCACACCACCCATCTCACTTATACGCGGGCCCTAGGTTTTCTAACGGCTATAGTACCTAGTACTATACGTCTACTACACCGGATCGTGGATAATTTCCTTTTCAAACATTTTTTGTTATTATTATGGATAGGTTGTTCCTAGAAGGGCTAGAGAAGTATAGGCGTGGCGATTAGCGCAACATCTCACGCTGGTCGGTGAAGACGCGGACCCCGACGCAGGTGGCGAGCCACGCACAAAAGTTCTTCATTCGCCAGGCCAACGCTGGCAACCGCAGTGACTCCAAGCGCAAGAGCATCCATGACATCATTGCCCCGTGATGTGTGGTAGGACATGTGGCATGATCCGGTCCAGTCCAGATGTAGTTACATTTGCTCCGATCCCCAAGTAGCTTTCAACCTCATTTCAATGAAGACAAAACGAAGGGAGTTTTGTCATCGGCCCTCTCCGCTAGTTTCTATCTTGCTGTGTAAAATGTAGCTAGACTATAGCTGAAGCTACTTGGCTGGAACATGAGATCAAGTGTTGCAATAGTAGTTTGTGTACTTTTCGAATAATATATGTATCCTTTTAATTTCACCGTGTGTGTGATATGTAAGTTAACTGTTGAAAGGGGTTTAGCAGTCTTGCACATGTTTGATACTTGTTAAGGCCAATGGGGTTATACATTTAGCTGTCATCTTTTCAATACATCTATAAATCATCGTAATAACAAGTTTATTAAATTGTGTTAGATGACTGTTTACATTACTTCTCGCACACCGCGGTCCATCTTACTGGAGAAGCATATATAAAAATCATGTCGTTAGCGTTGTCGTGTCGGTTTTGCAACAGACACATACATGAGATTTGAAATGGATATTGATAAGAATGTTTGTACCGGTATGATTTGCTCAAGGGTAAGCCTAGTGTCTGCATTGGTTTAAAGAAAGATCTATGTTATCTTTGTCAGGTTAACGAGCGTTTGTTGACTAACATCCCTTTTCCCTAGATAGTGAGTCCTCATCACCTCACTTGTATCATCTATTATATGTTTCATGCTTACCTATTTTCTAATTTTGGCATGTTCCTTGGTAAGGAAAAAAAGTTATATATGATGACAAATATGGCTTGTATTAATTCAGGTTCGATAACCATATTTTGAATCGTTTAAATGCTATCTTATCCAGGAAACAAGGGTCATACTCCGTTTCATATTGTAAGACTTTTTAGCATTGTCCATATTCATATAGATCTTAATGAATCTAGACACATATCTATATGAATGTGGACAATGCTAGAAAGTCTTACATTGTGAAACGGAGGAAGTACTTTTGTATAGATCATTATTACACCTAACCTTAT